TGTGCCCGGCCAAAGCCCGTTCTCTCAGGGGTTACTCCAGACCAAATCCTACAGGAGTTGCAGTGCGAGTGACTCATGACAGTCCTAAAAATAACAACGGAGAAATTTCCAACTAAAACGTTGCCTAATTAGCCATGAATACTGAGAAGTGTGAGAGGAAAAAAAAAAAAAAGCAATCCCTGAGTTGTTGTGGTGTTTTGCAAGCAAATTTATTACTACTTTCTTCCTGGATGTACTCAATTATATAGGAAGAATATTTCAATTTCCATCCTGTATTATAGCAAACCCACCCAGAAACAACAGAACAAATGTCCTTTCATGGCTATATAGAATGTATGTATCTTTTTAATGTAAAGCTGAATGACTTTGACCTAGACAGAAAGCTCCAAAGTACTTTTCATGCCCCCTTTGTATAGGGGACTATATATAATTCATCCCCAAACCACAATTCAGATTATTTCATGGTGCTTTTAACAAAAATGACAGAAACCCGAGGCACTGACTTTTCTACTAAATCCTCTTGCAAACAGTTTTCAGGAGTCCTAGTACAAAAACCTACACATCTATAATTTTGCTATGAACTGGTGAAACCGATCTCTGTGTTTATGTGATTTACATTTCAAACTGCAGTTTAAACATACAGCTCAGAAGCCAAGACCCACTTCTATCTCCTTCTCAACCCCTACACAAATGGCTTTGTGACAAGACAGTGAAACTTTGGCCATGTGTTCCAAAGCTCTGCAGATCTTGCTTTTCACATTTAAGGATCCACACTGGCTCTAACACAGGACTCTTTATTTTCCCCTCCAAGCCAGCTGGGTCCCTCATCCTAAAAGAAAGGAGAAGCATCCTGGGACTAAGCAGCCCTATTATTTCTAATAAATGTGCTGGATTTCCCTTTTTTTCTGGCTTTGCCAGTCTATCTTAACCTCACAAGAGTTCCTCCAGGAGCCCTGGGGTTTTCTGAGATTGTGAACCTTGCTGACCCACAGGAAACCCCCAGGACATGCTTGAACATAGCCTGGATTCAAAGACTGAGACACATTTTCAGTTCTGGAAGATCCTTAACCTCACAAGTCATTAAAAAAATCCCTTTCTTTCAAACCTGAAGGAATAGTTGTTTCTACCTGTTGACCAATTCCCTAAAAGCTTTACGGGGAAAATGCCAAAGTCAACTGAGACCTTCTGAAACTTTTACCTCTTTAACCTCTCCCAAATTCCCATATTTGCAACAGCTCCTACTGCATGGAATGGGTCAGATACAGCAGCTCTGATCAAGGACTGACCTGCCATATTCCCTCCCTGTTAATCCCACTGACCTCAGGGGAAATTACAGCAGGAATTAATCAGCTCCAGAGTCACACCAGTCTCTGCTATGAGTCTGATAAAACCTCACAAGGAGAGCAGCATTTATCATATAAACCACAGAATCAAAATGCCCCTCCTTATATTTAAAGAGAAAATTATATTTAATCGTTTAATTAAACAGTCTAAGGCTGAGACAAAAATCAATGACAAATTACAATTTGAAGTCTACTATGGCTTTTTTAGCTTCTTTGTTGTTGACAAGCAATGCAAATTCACCTTTCTTTGGGCTTTTAATGAAAAATAAAATACATGACATACCATGAGTTGCATTGTCTGAACAATCAAACTAAGTACAGAACACAATGGCAGCACTACTAATTATTCCTCCTTCTGCTAATTTAGAGCCTAACCTTAACATTACTTTGCAATGCCATTTTTACTGAAGGGAATTGCTCTTCAGTTGAATTCCTGTCCAACATGCTG